CTCTCTCTCTCTCTCTCTCTCTCTCTCTCTCCTTCTTTACTCATTTTTTTTGCAATCTCCTCTCTGTGTACAATGTATTTAGCTGTGGCTTTCCCTGTCCCTGAAGTGTGATCCCATGTTTTTTCCCCCCTGACTGAAGCTGAGTGTTTTCCTTGGGTGGTGATGGATGGCTGGATGTATGGATGGGCAGAAGGGAGTCTATGACTACTAGGGTGTCCTGGGCTCACTGCCACCTCTCTGGGAGAGGGAGTGGTTCAGTGTCTTTCTAATCCCAGTAGGGTAAAGCCTTCTCCCCTCCCCTCCCTCCCTCCCTCCCTCCCTTCCTTCCCGGCTTCATTCCATTCTGACTCCTTTCCATCCATCCCTTCCTTCCCAGTTTCCTTCCTTTGCATCTTCTTTTTATCCTCTCTCCCACAGAGACTGAACCCAAAGCATGTGTGTCCTGGAGTAGAGGCCCCAGTGAATAGACTGGGTGAAAGATTAGTTTGGGTTTGCAATTAGAATTTGATGGGAGAAATAAAACAGATGGAAAGCTAGTGTTGCTCTGAACACATGTGAGTGCCAGCTGTCTAGTGAAATGGCATTGGTTGAAGGCGTGTTCTTCTTGCCTGAAAACTGCAAATGGAAGTCTGAAGGACAGAATTCCTGAAAAGCAAACATATTGATGTCTACTAAAATGTGCATGTTTTTTATACAACTTCAGCATTCATCAAGGTACTGTCAGTAGTCACCTTATCTATGCGGTTTATATCAGGAAGCTTCTTTCAACCACCTGCCTTAATAGGTCAAGCAGTAGCCACCATTTTAGGTAACACATTGCCTATGGCGCACCTTGTTCTTGGAGACCTCTTTCATGCCCTATCATTGCATCTCTGGTGGGGCATCTTGGCACAAAACTCTATCTCTGGCATAGTTCCACTTCACTGTATTTTGTCAACAAAAGGTTTATGTATCTACCCTGCCCCAACATTGGTATTGGAAAGACAATTAAATTTCAGCTACAGCCCTTCAGGCCACTCTTTTATAAACAGCCTGCTGAGCTGAGAATTGACTTGAAAACCCTCAATCTTCTGCACAGGTATTCAAAGGACTACAGTATCTCTCAGACCGTGCTATACATGCCATTCCACAACTGAAGCATTTTCAAGTCTTCAAGAATATTGTGGAAATAAACACAATTAAAGTATCTAAAATTTAATTTTCATTATGGCAAAAATCTTCTCTGATTCTCCTTTGTGTGTCTGTGTGAAGGATGCTGAAGAAGGCTTGGTTTCCCCTCAAATCCATTTCTGTGGTGTTTGATGACTTTCTAACTTCTATTCAATCACTTGTAGGTTGTAACTATCCTTTCCAAGTTTTCTTCCTGTCTTCATTTAATTATTACTATTTCCTTTTATTAGGTTACACATACTGCTTGAGCAATCAGCAATTTTTTAGGACAAAGGAAACTGTGCCAGAACTATGGGTCCCACAAACTTTGTCTTTCTCTTTTCATAAAACTCCTGTTCTATCTTTATCACACAGTCTCCTCTCCTGTCTTCTACATAGACATCTCAGGACTTCCAGGAATCATATTTTGGGTACTTTTCTGCAGATCAGGTCTGTGCTATTTCAGAAGTGAACTCAAAGTTCATTTTTTTCCTTTTTTTTCTTCTGGTTTTGATACACTCAGTAATCATCTATTTCATTGTTCATATTCTTGATAAATTATCAAACCTACATTTTTTTCCAGTCACAGATTTGTACACAAATAGCTGAGTCATTTTGCATGAAAGCTTTCTCAACTATTTCATTGGGAGGACAACAGGCCTTCAGCTAGAGCAGTGCCAGAGCCTGGTATGCAAAGAGACTATTAAGCTAAGTGACTTAGGAAGCTCTAGTCTTTGCACAGACAAAAATGGCCACAGCACCTCAGCTCTTGGATCTATTGTTAATGCTCAGTTTTCAGGTTCGACACAGCATAATGACTTTCTCTCACTCAAAGTTCATTCTAGAAAGACTGATTGCTACTTGCTGTTCTACACACTGTGTGTCAGAGCAGGCATCTAGTCCAAGCTCCAGCAGCGACACTTACCCTTCCCCGAGCACAATGTGCCATCTGCTGATTCACATAGACTCATGCTTTGTTCTTCAGTCATGTTACACTTCCGAGGGTGTTGGCAGAGCTTGCCAAACCATCCTTTCTCACAAACACAACGACCACAGGAGCATGTACCATGCCCTATGAAGCAAACACAGGACAGGATGAGGGTAAGGAGAAGATAAGGACAACAAACAGCAAGTAAGGATTTTTAAGACAGAAAGTTATAAATCATAGGTTCTCATCTCCTATCAAACATGCTTTCCTTTCATGCACAGTTATTTTAATACGTCATTGTTTAAAAGAATGTCACAACTGTGGTCTACCTTAGAGCAGCAAATTTAAATGTACCGCAGGAGGTTGACTTGTGAGAAAGAAACCCTGAAGTGATTTTTATGGTGTCCTTTCTGGATGCAGCATCCTTCCTCACTTGCATTTTTATCAGTGTGGTGTCCTAGTGCTGTTCCTCACTGTGTACGCCATGACACCCAGCTCAATTTGCAAGGCTAGTCACATCCTCATTGCTTGGAGTTTTTATTAATTGCTCTCTTACGGCTGACTAATAAAAACAAAAGGCATTCCACGCTTCTCCCCTTACAAAGTACGCAGACATTTCTATTGGTGTACAACAGTTGAACAAGCTTGAATTTACGTTTGGCCTTTTGGTTTTGTATTTTTGTTTCTGGTGTCCTCCTGGTTTTTAAGGTATTTATCTTTTGACACACAACACTGCATTTATGACAGTTACACAGGGCTTTACAGTCCTGCCCTTCACTAGCCTTCAAGATTTTCCAATTTAATTTCTTTTTCTATCCAGTGTTTCTTTCCCCTTTCTGATATGCACAATGCCTTACAGCCAGATCATGCTCTGACTCAGTTATTTGCCTGGATAAGATTTCCAGAGTATCCATCATGAGCAGAGCATGTTGCTAGGCACCATGGGATATGAAATGAAATGTGATGGACACAGTGGTCTCCCATGTTCTCCCCAGAATAAGCATCATTGTTCTCAGGACTAGCCAACCTTTCTGGAGTTTGGTCACCATTCTTACTTGATCATATACTCTGTGAGACTCATCTCTGTAGGTAGAATGATTAATGGACAAGACTTAATTGTTGATAATAGAATATCATGATTAATTTAACATACCCACCCATGAATACAGGTTATTAACTGTCCATAATACATGACAATCTGGAAGTTAATGAAAAGCAGATGGGAGACCAATTTAAAGGGAAAGTGAACAAATACACCTGTTTCCTTAGGCATTAAATGCAGTCTTGCCACAGTCCTTCGAGTCAGATATTTATTTCCATGTGACAGTCAGGAATCTGAGCCTCTGAGAGTAATTACACATCAAATCCTGTAATCCAGCCACACAGGATCAAAACTTGACTCTGCTCCCTCTGACTTCAGTGGCCACACATCTACCATTGTGTCACAGTACCTCTAAGTTTCACCTTAGGAAAAGAGATGCCTAGCAATGTTTTCTTAATGTCTGTCTTTTTTGACTGCTGTGCCATTTGCTGGTGTACACTTGACTTCATGGGCACTTTCCAAGTCTTTCTGTGACTGGTTTTCTAGCCCTTTGATATCACCTTTAATAAAGATAAGGATCTTTATTCTTATATTTGCTTTTATGAACTGTTAGACATCCCTTACTTTCTTTACTCATCTTCATTTGTTTGTTTATTATCTCGTCCTTGAACATTCATCAAAACATGGGGTTTATTTATTTCTATCTGTGTGTACGAACACATTCCTGTGTATATGCAATGGGGCGTGGAGGTGTGTATGTGCATGCATGTGTGTTTGAATGTGTGCGTGCGCGCATGCACCGGCACATGCCAGACATCAGCATCAGGTGCCTACCTCAGTTGTTCTCCACCTTACTTTTTAAGACAGGATATCCAGTGAACCTGGACCTTGCTGACTTATCTGAACTGACTGGCAAGCAAGTCACAGGTGTCCTCTTGAATCTACATTCAAAACACTAGTATTTGAGCATGTACCTGCCTTTGACATGGGTTCTGGGGATGGAACTCATGCCTGTGTGGCAAGCAATTTACTGACTGGACCATCTGCCCAGCATAAGTCATTGGGCTTCTGATAACCATAATAATTTCAGGGAAGTACCCCAAGCTCAAAAATCCCACCAAACCCTACTCTCGGTCTTCTCCATTGTATGTTCTATCAGATTCCTAATAATACTTCTTCCTCTACTTACCTAATTTTCTTTTCAAACACTATTCTTTAGTATTTTCCATTTATTTAAATGAACAACTGTTCTAGTCAACTGGTTCAAAATGTTTTGAATGATATTTGAACCTCTTCAACTTGTTCCATCCAGAGAGCTGTCAAATCTTGTTAGAAATGCCTCCAACATAACATCCTAAGCCTTTGAGAAACCTTCCTACTGTGCCCCTCTCACATTCCTGCTCACGCTTCCCTGCCCTACACCTCTACTCATATCACAAGTCTCCAGTGCTTTGAGATTCCCTTATGCTTCCGAGGAAGCTTGCCTAATCAGTCCTTGCTTTAGGTTCCTGAAAAGTAGAGTCCCAAGCTACTTTTCCAATAGGATTCCTTTTCTTCTCCTTTCAACTGAATGACCCATGTTCCCATGCAATTCTCACACTGTTCTGAGCAGATGCCTTGATGACGTAGGAATGCCTCTTCCATTCAGTACATTCAGGCCCTGCTTAACTTACACAGTTCAGCCAAATGAATACACTTGCATGAACGTTCTTTATGTCTACAAGTGGAACTCATTGCCTTGCTTCTGAATTTATTTGTTGTCCGTGAGAGTGTGTATGAGTGCATGTATGTGTGTATGTATGCACACAAGCATGCATGTGTGTGGTCCTGAGCTTCACCCATGGCAACTGAGGCTAGTACTTTAATCTTTATCTTCAGTTCTCGCTTTTAAACTTCTACACTATTTTTTCACTTTATATGGAAATCTTTTACCTTCCACCTTGTGGTGTACAGTTGTTTGCCAAATAAAGTCATCACTTTGTACGAATTCCTTTAGAGAAGGAAGCTGATTCAGTGCTGTAGCCATTAAAGAGCCAAACAAATCACCGCAGACATGCTAGATCCTTGAGAATACTGGCAGTAGATTGAAGCTATTTTTATCAAAAACTCATTTTAATTTTCTCCACAAATCCAAACCGAGGGTCTTAAACTTATTCTAGGAGACATTGTAGTACATTTGGTAAATGGACTGTTTTTCAAGAGCAATGGATGTTTCGTGAGCTGCTGTGTTGTTTCTACTTTCAAAGAATAGAGTTAAGTTAGAGTTAAGACCCTTTGAGGCCTCTATCTCAAATGAGCAGTTCATAGATTATATTTCAACTTCTCCATGAAAACTGAAGCCTCTACAGTTCATGTTAACAAGTTAATACAAGTCACCTATCGTTGGTAACAGAGAACCTGGAGTGCAAAGGTTAAAGAACAGGTGAAAGGGCTTCTGGTACCTGTGCTACTGAGCTATGAACTTCTCAGAGGCTCATGTTTCTGAGGGACCCTGGGCTGATAAGTACTACCGTCATCATCCTGAAATTTTGAAATCATATCTATAGTGCAGATAAAGGCATTCTGCCTTCAGTTAAAATATTATTGAGAAAGAATCAATGGCTCCTTACAGAAGATAATTTAATATGAAATTGATGTGGAAGCATAAAGGACAGCGTTTGCCATTTATTAGCTCATGTGTCACATCCTACAAAGTTAAATTGGCAATTAGCCCAGACAATCATCAAAATGCCTTGGCATTTCAATTTTGATTCATCATTTATATCTGACTTCCTTTTACTTAAAAAATATAGGAAACACTATCAATAACTTCTTCATAAAGTATTACAATTTAGCCATCAGTTCAGGAAATGTTTGCTATGCACTGAGTATTATATTAGCAGTTTGAAATGTAGCAGTGATGAAGCAGGCGGGGGCCATGCTTTCAGGACACATCAAGTCTACTAGGACGCAACATGAGTAACAGCGACAAATACACTTGGATTATTGGAGCTTGAAAAGGATGTTACTATATTCAACAATGAGAACAGGGCACATGAGGGTGCTCAGAGAAGCGTTCAGTGAAACTCAGGGATAAGAAGCCAGGCAATCAAGGTTTTAGGAATAGAACCTAGAAATTCTTGGAAGAAGAGAGAGCTGGGCATGTTTTACACAGCGAAGGCCAACATATTTGAAGAAAAACAACTAAACAATTAATCAAGTGGGATAGATGTTCAGGAATGAGCATACAACCCTATTTAAAATGGGACAAAATGGCAGCATGTATCATTTCTTCATTTTCACTTTTCTTTCATTCTTTTATCCTGGAAGATGGTCACAATTGGAAGTTGAGAACAGGACAGACCACAAATGAAGACAGAAAGGGTTCAGGGCATAGATGACTCTCTGGCACCCAGCTCCAGTCATTCCTGGTGTGACACCTTGCAGAATTGTACAGATGATTGGCTAAATGCAGACCCAACTGACATGCTTACCAATTCAGGACTTTTGTGATTTCGAGATGTCATTTGGAGGCACTCCCCTACTGCTGTACTGTCCATCCGAGGAAGTCTGGGCCTGAGTGATTGGTCTAAGGTCATCTACTTCCTCAGTGTAAGACTCCAACAGTGCCCTGACAGTGCTGAATTTGTAATCTCGGATTGCATGGTTGCCTTCAAATGGCAGCAATGAGCTGAAGAACTCCCTGAAGAAATGGGAGCTGATTGTATAATTAAGAGGTGGCTCTTCATTATCTTTTCTTGCTTCTTAAATTGGACTCCCGGGCAGCTATTCTAGGAGCATAGAGGGAAGCAAGCAAGCAATAGGCAGTCTATTTCTTATTCTCACCTTTGGTATGGGGCTCGTAGGAGGGAAACCTCTGATTAGGCTTATATTCACTACAATAATTAAACACATGTGAGCCAGCACATGAACATATTTTCTTAAGGAATCTGAAAATTATGCATTGCTGAAAAACGAATAAATCTTAGGAACTATTGCTCCAGACAGAGTCTCTTTTACTAGTGACTTATTTGATAAGAATCAATGTTATGTATCAGTCACATTAATTTTTGTTTGTTAATAAAAATGTTTAGAGAACAATCCACATACAATGTATGGTGAT